GTGTGTGTGTGTGTGTGTGTGTGTGTGTGTGTGTGTGTGTGTGTGTGTGTGCGTGTGGGGATGTGTGTGTCATATTTACAACATAAATACTGACACATTTTCATCTCTCTTGTGGAGGAAAGAACCAGGCCTCAGATTGCCACCTTCCTCAAGACTTGAAATTAAGAATTTTTCAACTGTAAAATGGGCAGCAAATTCCCCCCCAAAAAAATATATTTCTAAAACAGACCAAAATCCTCTACCCAAGAGAATTTTATAAACAAATCTGCCAAAGTTTAGAACAGTAATAATACTTCTCCGACATGAAATCAATGTCAGTGGTAATTGTGCACTGTACACACCAAATAAAACAGAAAGCCTTAGAACTGGCTACATTTTTGCTTAAATCAATGCTAGACCATCACACTTTACATTATAAATTTAATCTGCAACTATTAGGCTCTATTATATATTTGGTTTAAAAATGAGAAATTAAATGAAACATCACAAGCAGAAACTACTCAAAATACTGCATTTTCCTGGAGATAAGACAAAAAATAAAACAAACGCTAATAAAAAGAAAACCTTACTTATTAGGGCTACACAAAGAAAAAAAGAGAGAAGGGTTCAGGACATTATAAAAATACTGATATTACAGGAGGTTTTACGGAGCTCGCAACTGCATAGCCCTAAGGTCATAATAGTCATATAGATTCTACACGAGTGCCAGAAGATTAGAAATCTAGGCTTGCTGCTTTTTTGAGTCTATTGGATATCGATCTAGATTAGACCTAGAATCTAGATCTATATGAAATCAAAAATATATAATCGGTATCGATATGAACACAGGCCTAGATCTAGATCTATACATGATGTAGGTTAATCTTCATCATAATCTCATATATATTAAGATACCACTCATTCCTGACTCATTTTTTATTTTTAAAAAATAAATTATTACACACACATTTTGCTATTGAATGTTAAATCGAGACACAATAAATTCAACAAGGCACAAGGCCTAAATTCAAGGAGTCAACACACTCAAGGCATGGAGCTAAAATCATGTAGACAGATCAATACTACCAGAGCTAACATGATGTAATATCTGACGATAAACACCATCTTTAGCCCCTTCCTATAGAATCTATTCACTATCGCGTACAGTTGGCCTACACACTGGATTTCAAGTATTCTAGTGGTAGAATCTAAATCTAGATGCCTAGTCTAGATCTAGAGCACTCGTCATACTCCTTGTACTAGGCTGCTACTAGATCTACTACTACTGTAACTAGGCTGGGGATACTATTTCAGCTCAGCGTGTAACCTCTGCTATTTTTTTAAGTACCATAAAGTATAGCTCAATGTTACCTGGACCAGACAGTCTCTGGGGAGGTAGTTTCGGCTGGGCCATAGTTCGGTATGGTTTTAGATGGTTAAGAACGAGTAACTCCGTTGACGTTGAAAACTGAAGGTTTACTGATCCCAGTTCCCAGTACGTGTTCTACGTTGAAAGTTGAAACACACCAGGCGAAAACAAGGTCAACTCCCCCCACAATTCTATAATGTTTACTTCCGGCACAGGTCATACATAAACACGTAACTTCTTCAGGCCCAGGAGGTGCAATCAACAAAGCTGAATCGACAATTTTTAGCATCAGCGCTAAGAAAAGAAACAAGGAGTGAACAGTTAAATTTGCAGCTTCTTTTCAGTGATTCAAGAAATTTTTATACGACGACACAGCGTAGGCTAATGAGTAAGCCGCGAAGCGATTTCCCCAGCGGACAACTGAAGTCGGCCAGGCGAGCACACTCGTACACAGTGAATCGATAGTACACGCTTGTGCACACAACAACATCGCGGCTACACGAGCGTGTATCCCAGTCTTGGTGGGAACAGGAAGATGCGGAAAGGGTTTTTTTAAAAGGGGGTAGACCTAGTCGGAGATTTACATCACTTGCAACACAATAAGGTCATATTATAAGTGCCTAACGTTAGATGTGTTACAAGAGAGTAACAAACACAAAAGGAAGAGAGATCAGGACGAAAACCGTTCGAAAGAAAGAGAGGAAGGAAAACCGCACCAGAGCACCC